TCCCAGGGACTGCTTTCAGGACATCTTTCAATGAGCTGACCAAGCATAGCCTGCCATGCCCAGTTCTAGCTTTGCATTTCCCGGATCAGCTACGAGAAAATGCTCTATTGGTGCACCAGCGGTACAAATTGGACGAGAAGAATTGCGGGCAGCGTAGCTTGGATAGGCAGAAAGCATGAAAGTGTTGATATTGTATGAGGATTTCTAATTCACTACAAAGGATGCCATGCATTTTGTAAGGTTATATTAATATTTTACATATTTCTTTGTGAGCATCCTTGCATACTATTTTGTCATTCTGTAGGCCACACATGCATTTTTGAAATGTCTTTTGCTTCTTTCTCTGACGCTTCTGAATATGCTTAGGACGTTTGATGTTGGCTTTCGACGGGACATACCTCACAGCTACCCTGTCGCAGATCACCTTGATCAACGGTGCAAGAGGGCTTGTTGGCGGTGCTTGGGCGCCAGGCAATGCTGCAACCTGCTTCTTAGATCTCAATGATCCATCCTTGAATGCGCGGGAAGTCCCAAAGGCCGGCCTGATGTACGAGTACATCGTTTGGGACCCATGCTCTGCAGCCAAATCTGCCCTGTCAGTGGCTTCAATGCCAACCATGCATAGTTGTGGAGGATCTGGCGCTGCTGCAGCAGGCCAATGGTCCATGCTGCACACTGTCGGAATTTTCATGAAAGAGTGTGGACACCTTATCCGCTGCATGACGTTCGACGCCTTTGGGACACACACGCTTGTGAGGAAAATGTTGCACGGGCAGCATGCAGATTGCGTAGACCCAGTGGCGTTGAAGGAAGTTGCCTGGTTCAGCGAATTAGAATGGGAAGCTTTGCCCAGGAGCGCTTTGCCCCGGTTACCAATCGCGTTGTGCAAGCACAGCAACGAATACATCTACTGTATGCCGGGACCTTGCTCCTTGCACGTGTTTCATTGCTCCCATGGGTTGTGGGTTTTGTTATTTTAGATATTTTCCCTACAAAATGCTATGTGTTCTTTGTTATCTTGATGTAACACGCTGTACTGGGCACAGACGGACTGCCCATGCCTGCATTTTTTGGTGTGTTTGGCTTTTTGTAGTGAACAAGCGCTATGCTCCTCAACAACCGATCCCCAGCAAGTTCTAACTAACAGCCTAATATTTCATTGTTTGGCCTCAGGTCACGCAAACAAAAACACCAGCGGCCAACTGTGCAGCATGTTGAGAACATGCACATATGGTGAGTACTGGGCCGACGTCACCTTGGCTCGCTCTCACGGACTACCTCCCGCTGCATATAGCAGAGAAGAACCGATGAGCGATAAGCTCAACAGCCTCCTGACTAATCCATTCTTTTTGGTGGAGGAGGTCGACGGGCGCCTGAACTCACTTGTAGTGCCATGGGCTTTGCGTGGAGCTACTGTGCACAACGTGGTTTGCGCTATGGCTTTGGCACCTGCCTTGCATCGCGACCTCACTTTGCTTCAGAGGTGCGAGCTAGGTTTGACAGCATTCTTGAGCTTAGACATCTTCCGCATGATCTCCAGCGCCAAATGCCGAGAAAAGGGTCTACCAACTGGACCCTTATTTATGGCACCTCAGACCGTCTTCAACCTTCAAGGTGTGGCTTTGTCAGTGATTGCCATGTGTGTATCCAAGCCAAAAGGGTGGACTCCGTGGAAGAGAGGAAGTGCAAGAGCTTCGGAACTGACGGTGGAGCAGTTCTTTAGCTTCATCCGCGCACAATCCTCGAATTCACAGCACACAGCGCGCTCCTATTGGACTGCAGCCACCAGACAGAACCTCAGAACAGGCGCCAGGATGAACAAGAACATGAAGGCAGATTCTAGGCTTGGTTACGTTGTGTTAATTGTAGATCACTGCAGGAACAATGTTCACCTACAAAATGAGTGGGCTTTCGGCCCTTATAGCTTTCACTTTTACTCTGGCATTTGTTGATCAAGGATTTGCTTTTTGTAGTGTTGTGCTTTTTGTTTATTCATTCCTTGTGGAGCCTTGTGGAAAGTCCGCGCTCAGGAGAATGCGACTGAGCCACTTCTGGAGAAGAAGCTCAATGATATGGAGTTGCTAGCAAATGTTTGGCAAGTGTTGCACCTCCAGGATTGTCATTTTGTAGTTCACACATGTCAACACATTGCAAAGTTTTGGGTGGTTTTCTCAAAGCAAGCCAGGTTCCAGCTTTGCTGCAAGAATGCCATGGATGCCGCCTTGCAATTGGCTTCGTTCTGTTCGCAGGAAAGTGTGGAGGTGTTGGAGAAGGCCTATCGGAACCTCTGCAATGCTCATGACAGTGATTTCTTCGATCCAGATGTTCACAACCTGGATCCGGATGAGTCTTCAGAAGTGCAGCCTATAGCTGATGTATCTTGCAGCGATCTCGTCTCGCAGGTGGCGATTGAAGGCAAGTTCATCATGGAGGACCCGGGTCAGGAGATGGACCATGAAGCAGCAGATGCCGAGGATTTGGAGATGAAGAGAATCCCTGATGGGGAGCAAATCAAGAAGCTCGTGGACAAGGACAATGTCATGGAGCCGTTTCGAACAGAGACCAGCCGCTCGCCGAAGGGCAAAGGTGAGCAAGACCCAGATTTCTTGCCATCCACTTTGCGGGAGGTTTTTGACATGAAGTGCGTCAAGGTTGACAAGAGTAACATTTGGAATCCTTTGTTTCGGCTAGCAGTCCGCTTGCGCTGTGGCAAGGGCGGCATGGACTCCATTTTTGTCCGCAACCATCGAAGCTGCCGCCGTGCCAGCAAGGCCTTAAATTGGCATCAGCAGCTTACTACAAAATGCAGTATGTAGACATGTATGATGTTCTTCAATGTTTGTATTGTGTTTGTGTGATCTCGAGACTGATGCCCAGTCATTTTGTAGGCATACTGGCCCCAATTGCCTAGGTACAATGAGATGCAGTTGGCAGCTATGCGCAATGAGAGTTCCGAGCCTCAGTTTCGAGCGCGCGCTGGACGCCTGGACAAGTGGCGGGAGATGGCGCAGAAGGCCCGCGAGGATCTCAAGCTGCCTCTTGCGCCAATGGAGCGCATCATGCTGCTTTGCGACAATCATGCTTCCTATATAGTTTTTATTTGTTTTTATTTGTTTCTATCTTTTTTCACATAGCGCGTACAGTGATCCTCCATTGTTTTGGATTCCAGGCCGGGAAACATCGTGCTCTTCCACACTCCGGGCAACAACGAAATCCAGTTGGGCCTTGTGATGACCCTGTGGAAAGGTGTGAAGCAGCCAAAGCAGTATGCATCAGAGTGTCCACTGGACGCGTGCGTGGCATTTAGGGCCGTGGAGTTAGACTTGGTGAACACAGATGATCCAACCAAATGGAAGTGTGGCTCCACATCCAATGCTTGGGTTGTGCGAATTGAAGCCTTGGTGGCAATTCTCAGCTGTGAGCGAAGCCTCCTAGCTGCACTGGTTGCTACAAAATGTCGTGCGTTTGTATAATGCTACTCAGAGACCTGGGGATGTCCTGGAAAGCATTGGAAAGCAATTTCCTGCGATTCGTTGATGAAGTTACTACAAAATGACATCCAACATGCCTCCAACAGGGAACAGTCCCAAGGGAAGGGTTCTTGCGCTCTATGTTTTGGGAAGGCCTGACACCATACCAACCACAAGTCTTGCATTTTGTAATGTGTAAAGTATCCTGGGCATTCCTTGTTGCAGGCATGAAGCCGCTTCTGAGCACCGACCACATGCACTTTGTGATTTCGCAAGCTTCAGCTGAAGCTCTTGCCAAAGTTCCTGATTTGGAAACATGGATGGTTGCTCCAACGATGGTCCGGGGCAGTGGAATGAAGCCAGCGCCAGCAGCAGACCCCAAAAAGAAGACAGCGAAGAAGGTAGCGTCTACCATTTCCAAGCTTGCCGGCAAAAAGTCTTCCAAGAAACCAGCCGTAGTGAATTTGGATGAGTGCGAGTTGAAGTTCAAGAGGACAAAGCTTGGCAGATCCCGAATTGCAAGCGACCTCGAGAATTTGAGCAAGATGGACTGGCAGAGCTTTCCAGGGAATCCGATCTTTAACTCAGATGGAGAAAATCGCATGAAGCTCGCGAATGCCAACCAAGCCAACTTGCCGAATGTCTTGAAGTTTGGCCCGTGGTGCGTTCAGAACATGTTTTTTGGCTGATAAGATTAAACGCTCATTTTCTTTTGCTTGTCCAGCCCTGGCGTATCCCAGCAGCTTCAGGTTCAACCAGTACAGGCAGCCTGCGCAGTATGATGAAGCAGTGAGAAAGCTCTTGGATCACTGCACGAGCCAGATGACCCGCAGCCCGAGCACCCGGCAGGCATTCATGCGATTGGTCAAGGAGATTGCCGATTACGTGACTGCTCAGAATGGCCGGTTGCCTGCTGCTGAAAACGCAGACGAAGACCTGTGAGCATCTTGAGCAGGTGAAAGAATTGGAGTAAGCATTTTGAGGCATTTTGCATTTTCAATGCGACACTCCGAGGAGAAAAAGTCTCCAGGGAGTTGAGTGCAAGAAGCACTCCGAAGCGGAAATTTCAAGAGCAAGGGACAAAAAGATACGGAATGTGAATTTGCATTTTGTAGTGGTAGATTTTGGCAAGATGGATGCACCATGTACGATCATAATGTAGTATTTTTTAATTTTCTTCTCTGACTCGAGCATGGGTCATGCACTTGCATTTTGTATTTCACAGTTTGTTCAGATCCCTCATTTTGTACAGATTTTTAAAAAAAAGACCTACAAAATGGTTGCCCAGACCCCTCCACCTCAATATCAAGGGGGATACAAATAGTATAAACGATAAGGATTGTTCTTTAGACAACCTCAGGTGAAGACAACGGCAAGATAGATGTTGAAGCCACATTGTTGTAAACATGAATCATTCCTTGATAAATCAAGAACTGGTGCCCTTCACCAGGCAATATCAGCAACTGCAGTCTACAAACTTGGTCAGGAACAGGTGCGCTCAGAAGCGACGCGTTTTGGGGTCTTTTTCAGGCAGTGACGCGCGAGTGTTGAAAGGACCGGGGACCCAGTGGAGGCATCGATCGTGCTTTGTTGGGCGGGGTGCATTCAATCACTTGAGCGTTTCTCTTTTCGATCCAATTGGGAGCGAAGCCTGCGAAGCCTCAATGATTCATACCTTGAGGCGGGCTTGCTGATAGTGATGAACAATAGACTTCCCACTGCTTGCGAGGCTGTTTGGACAGCGGCCCTTGAACCAAGCTCGCTGGCAACATGGAAGAAACGCAACCATAGAGGGCGAGCAAGGTAACACGGGGCTGACCACCGCAGATGTACTGAACAATCGAACAAGCACTGAAATGGACAACGTCCTAATTGTAGAGGGTAATGCACACTGTGGATGAATCAAGCCCCCCTACCAGAATGGTTTTACATCTCCATACTGTAGTGGAGCTTTTCTTGATCAACCGCCATTTATGTCCACTTCGTTTGACGTCACCAAACTCCGGAAAAAGCGACGCTGAGGCAGATTTGGCATTGCTCAGTGCAGAGAGATTTGTCTTCAGGCTCGGCCTCCTGGCCTTACTACTAGTAACCAGGACGCTACTAGTAGCAAGGGCGTCGCTACTAGCAACAAGGGCATTACTACTAGTAGCATTCTTACTACTAATAACAAGAAGCTACTAGTAACAAGTGCATCGCTTCTAGTAACAAGTGCCTTACTAGTAGTAACAAGGACGCTAGTAGGAACGAGAACGCTACTAGGCACCGAGCCGCGCGTGGCCGAGCGCCGCGGCCGGCCTCGAAGCGCGGCGATCCGGTCGACCGATGTCGCAGTGCATCACGGTGTTGAAAGGGATGTCTTTGTTTTTGTTGCTCCTAGTAAGGAGTAAGGAGTAAGGCCAGGAGCCCCTAGTAGCGTCCTTGCTCCTAGTCGCGATGCCCTGTGTTCCTAGTAGCATTCTTGTTCCTAGTAGTAAGGCCAGGAGACCCTAGTAGCGTCCTTGCTCCTAGTCGCGATGCCCTGTGTTCCTAGTAGCATTCTTGTTCCTAGTAGTAAGGCCAGGAGCCC